TCAAATATTTATTGACTGCTTACTATTATATCAGAGACTAAGCTGGGTTCAGATATAAAATGATATTAAGTCTTGTCCTCAAGGAGTTTGAAGTCATTTGGTGTAGGGTCAGTGGAGAGTAACGAGTAAACAGAAAAATTACAACAAAGTGCCATAAAGATTATGAAAAGGGCAAAATTAAGAGCGCAATGAAAAAAGTAAAAGTTTTGGGAATTCAGGGTTTCTCTTCCGGGGTTTCAGAAAAGACTTTATGGAAGAACAGATATCTTAGTTCAATGACAGATGGAAGTTAACTAGGCGAAGTGGTTGCAGGAGAAAATGGAGGGGACAATGCAGAAGCCTGTAGGCAGAGTGAGCCTGTGTTCCAGTTTTCTTGTGATAGATAGTCCTTTGTGCCTGTTGTCTTACAGTCCACGGTTTCTTGCCCTCTCCAAAGTCTAGGTTTAGCAGTCTGCTTGTAGGACTCAGAGAACATGGCTTAGTAACTGAGAGTAGTTTACTATGCTTAGAACATTGAGTTTGGGGGTGGGGAAAAAATACCACAGGTAAGAGGAGGTCGTATACTGAAGAGATATACATACCATCTTGTAACACGATTCTGGTGGCCCTGTGGAGCCATGCAAGATTCTTATAGAGGAAAATAGGATAAAGAGATATGTGCTTTAGAAATTCGTGTGTGGCTGCATTGTAGAGAAGAGATTATAATGGAATGAGCGGCAGGATCATCACTTAATGGTCAGCAATATAGTGAGGACAATAACTGGCTTTGGTTGTAGAGATAGAAAAAAGCGAATGAATTCCAGAGATATTACAAAGCTGGACTTAACAAGATTTCAAAATACATAGTCTCCCCTCATCTGTGGGGGGGGATACGTTCCAAGGCCCCCAGTAGGAGGAGGTAGGATAATGAGGGTCAAATACATGGTGATGGATGGAGATTTGACTTTGGTTAGTGAACACAATCCAATATACTAATGATGTATTATTGAACTGTATACTTGAAACCTATGTAATTTTATCAACCAATGCCACCCCAATAAATATAGTTAAAAAAAAAATCACCAGTTAAAAAAAAGACCCTCAGTGGATGCCTGAAACTGTGGATAGTACCAAACTCTATATATACTGTGTTTTTCCTGTACACACATAACTGATAAAATTTAACTTAAAAATTAGGCCCAGTAGGAGATTAATAACCATTAATAATAAAATAGAACAATTATAATCATATACTGTAATAAAATCATGTGCATGTGGTCTCTCTCAGAATATCTTATTGTTTTGCACTCACCCTTCTTGTGATGATGTCAGATGATAAAATGCCTACCTGATGAGATGAAGCGAGGTCAGTAAGACATTCTCAGTAAAATAAGAGTTGCTTGAACACAGGCACTGTGATGCCACAACAGTTGATCTGATAATTGAGAAGGCTACTAAGTGATCATTGGGTGGGGAGTTAGTGCAGCGTGGATACACCGGACAAAGGAATGATTAATGTAATGTCCCAGGCGGGATGGAGCGGCCCTTTCGAGAGTTCATCATGCTGTCAGAATGACTCGCAATTTAAAACTTATGAATTGTTTATTTATGGAATTTTCCATATAATATTTTCAGACCTCAGTTGACTGCGGGTAACTGAAACTGTGGAAAGTAAAACTGCATAAGCGGGGACTACTGTATTGAGTGTGAGTTTGTGTGTATGTGTTTGTGGGGGAGGAAAAAGTAAAGGAAGACATTATGGCTTGGACTCTTCAGTGAATGATGGAGCAGTTCATCAAGATAAGAGAAAGAAGGGGAAGTTTTGGAAAACATTCATTTTAACTGTTTGGGAGGGGATGGATAAGCCTAATGAGAGTCCATGGAATGGGACCAAAAGAGATCCAAAATAGGGAACCTGAAGACAAAAAAGAATTAACAGAAGATGAACATCTCCTAACAAACCAAATCAACAAAAATCAACCAAACAAAACCCGCAAAACAAAACAACAAAGCAAAACTGAGCAGGAGTGGGTCAGAGAAGGAGGAGGAAAACCTCAAGTGTCGTTTTAAGAAAGGAAAGGAACAAGGTGTTTTTGGAAAGAGGCAGATGTCAGTGGACTTATCAGAGAAGGATTTGGTAGCAAGGTTCTCGGTGGTGTGCTTGGTGGCAGGCGTTTCAGGAGTGCCATGGGGCTGGGCCAGGCTGACGTGGGGCACTGAGTTAGATCAGAGGTGGACGCTATGAGCAAAGACAACCCTTTCAAGAATTTTTACTATGAAGATGGGAATATAGCAGAAAGAATTATACTGAAGATATAGTTATAAAAATTTATCTTTATTAAAAATTTTCGTTGTGGTAAAATATACATAACAAATTTACCACAGTAATCATTTTTAAGTACAATTTAGTGGCATTAAGTACATTCATGATGTTGTACAACCAACACCACTATCTAGTTCCAAAACTTTTTCATTATCCCAAACAGGAACTCTGTACCCATTGCGCAGTAAGTCTCCATTCCCATCTCCTCCTAACCACTGGTAACTTCTAATCTTTCTCTCTGAACTTGCCTATTCTAGGTATTTCATATAAGAGGAATCATATAATATTTGTCCTTTTGTATCTGGTTCATTTTACTTAGCATAATGTTTTAAAGGCTCATCCATTTTGTAGCATGTATTAGAACTTTATTCCTTTTTAAGGTTGAATAATATTCCTGTACACACACACACACACACACACACACACACACACGTATATGTATATGTATATGGATACACACACACATATATATAAATACCAGTCTCTTTGTACATTAATCTATAGACACGTAGATTGTTTCTAGCCTTTGGCTATTGTGAATAATACTGCTATGAACATGGGTATACATGTATCTATTTGAATACCTGTTTTCCATTCTTTTGGGTATATCCCTAGAAGTGGAATTGCTAGGTTATATGGTAACTTTATGTTTAACTTTCCGAGGAACTGCCTAACTTCCACAGCAGCTACAACATTTTACATTCCTACCAGTCGTATATCAGGGTTCCAGTTTCTCCACTTTATTGCAAATACTTATTTTCTGTTTTATATGTGACTCCTAGACGTTAATAATGTCGCTACTGCTTCCTACCATTCAGGCTTTTGTGGACTCTCCACTACCAACACAAAAAATTATCTGTGAGGCATTATCTTCATTTTATAGATTTAAAGACTGAGGCTCAGGAAAGTTCAGAAGTTTGCCTAAGATAAGTGCACTGAATCTCTCAGGGTAAAATCTTTACAGCTATAAGGATTTAATATACTTATTAAGTTAGTCTTTGTTTTATGGGCGTGCGAACGTTTTTTATGGTTGAAAACAAATTTAATCACATATTCCAGAATATATATATTATACCTATATAACATATAAAATATATACTACTGTATTAATAAAACATAAAATAAAAACAATGTATATTTTATAAAGATAAGAATAACATTAATATGAAATTATTTAATATGAGCATAATATCTACTATTTTCTCTCGCTTTACTATAGTTTTTGTTTTTGTTTTTTTAATTCCCTCCCCTCACACTTCCACCCCTGACCTATGAATGTTGCCATCTCCCCTTAAGAATTGGATCTCTGAAGGTGGGATGTCTCCTCCCAAGCATTCACAGTACACACTTGGCACACCCAGGATATGGGCCATGGCTCTGCTGGGGCTCAAACCCAGGACCTTCTGCGTGTAAAGCAGACGTGCTAACCACTACTCTATGGAACCACCCCTACTATGGTTTTTTGTATCCATTTCTGGGAAGATGCATCATTACTTGTGTAAATTACTGATAAAAATGGCTAATAGGCTTATTATATGATGTGTTCAGGCATTTTTTAAAACAAATATTTAAAACATTCTTTGCACGTGAAGGACATTTACTCAAGTCAGTTCACAAAAACATATCAAATGCTATTTTGTACATGTCACGATCTTGTTTTGCTCTCTGCAAAAATATGCAATATAATAATGAATGCTGTTTTTCTGAATCACTAAGCTACTGTAAAATCAAATTTTAACTTAATAGCTAGATAAAGTTCTAAAAACTTGTCCCTGAGGAAGTGCCTCTTATTATGAGTAGTATAAGCAACATCAAATTTACTTGTAAAGCAATATTTGCAACCTTTATCTATAACTTGCAGTTAAATTGTCTTTGGAAAGGTGAAAGAGGTGATGATTTATCTCATGAAGTTGTTTATGCTGATATTTTGGCATTTTGAAGAAAAATGCAAATATATAAAATCTAGTAGAATGTCAGGGGAAAACTGGCAAATGACTCCATATGCTCTCAGGAAAACAACATCTAAATACGTACATCTTTTCTAATGGCCCGAATTCACTTGAATCTGTTTTTGTTTTGACTGTTTTTTTACATGGATTTGCTCTATAGCAGCTACCAAATAGAAATATTCCAAAGAGGAAGAAAGAAAAGGAAGATATTTGGTATGGAGATTGTAAATTTTTTTTTTTTAATTTTATTTTATTATGAGTCAGAGCAGTCAGCTGTTTTACTTTTGATGGTAATAATTATTTAAGAAGATTTGAAATGTATTTTTGTGATTACATTTTAAGTACATTAGTAAGTTTTTCCTGCATGTTGCTTTGTTTTTTCGTTGATTGAATAAAATAAATTTTCCCTTCTGAAACAACATCACATTCAATTTTTCAAGATCAGAATTAGTCAACTTTCTTTTCGGTGGCTCCTGAAAATCTGATGGCTAAGTAAAGGTGACTATCTAGCTAAATTCCAGAGACTAGATTAAGGAATGAGAAGAATGACATCAGGGGAACAGCTTCTCAGTGAACACAACTACTGTTGATATTAGGTCCAGAATAAGCAAAAGATGACAATTTTCCATTTTTGCAGGAGAGTCAAGAACATACTTTCTAAATGTGTTTCATATCTTTCACATATCCTTTTCATTCTTTATTTTAACAGGATTTGTAGATGGTAATTTGGGCCAACAGGTTTACCATCTCATGCAGAGCTGACTTGATTTCCAAACATGTTATCCTCTCTTTTGGAAGATAGGTTAATATATATGATACAAGAGGACCCAGACCTAGAAACAAACACTTGGCAGACAATCCCTATAAAGCAGGTAAGAGTACTTAACCATCATACTCAGATTGTGGGTCTGGAACTGCTCTTTCGAGTGATGATGATGATGGCGATGACACTAGTAAGAGTAGCTAACATTTATTCAGAGTTGATTAGAATCTAGTTTACTAAGATCTTTGCATGTATTATCTCACTTAATCTTGAGTTAGTTACTCTCACAATCCCCATTTTATAGATGGGGAAACTGAGACATAAGGACACATCACTTGTTCAAGGTCACATATTTAATAGCAGAGACAATATAAGAACTCAGGCTTTCTGACTGCAGGGCTTATGTCTATCACACTCTACTGCCTCTAATTTTGGCAGTAATTTTTTGGCAGATGGTGATCACAGAAGTTGCTTAAAGTTACAACTTTTAAGTACTCATTTTTTTTCTAAAGCCAAGTTATGTTGCTTTTATTCCCCCCAAATTATATTATCACTTTTGTAGTTTTGAAGAAGGGTGTGAAAATTTGAAATGTTATCTATTCTCATTTAATTTTCTACTTTCCATGGAGAGCATACCATACCCAGATCTAAATGTCATTACCAGTTGTTTCTCACACTTGACGAACGGGAAAGTACATGCTCAGTTTTGAGCAGAGGCTCTCTTGTAGGAGTATGATAGTGCTCAGCAAAGTTTGGCACTTGTGTTTGGCAAAACATCCTAGGCAGATGAATGATTCATATGGAAGGAGCACTGCTACTCAAAAAGGTGCATTAATATGAATATTAGCACCTCTAAGTGTTTGTGAAATAACCTTAGTGGAAGGACTAGGATATTGACAAAACATTTTCAAAACATTATACTTCATTTAACGGTTAAAGGTATAGACAAAGAGTAATTTACTGCAGAAGTTTGTGATGATTCAGTTCCAAGTCATATGTGATAACTATATATTTTAGAGGAATGTTAAACAATATGGATGTGATAATCTGATTTTTAAATATCATCATTACACTGAGTTCTAAATATAATTAATCTATAACCATTCTTACAACAGATATTGCTATGTGACAAGCAATACTTTGCTATAATAAGAAAAAATGTAAATTTAAAATTTAAGTGATTTCAGAATAATTTTCAGCATTTATTCAGGGGTTATTAAGGCAAATGAAAGGGATTTTTATAAGGTATAGTTCAGTTGACGTTTTCCTCCTTAGAATTCACATTATTGCCACAGCCTACAAATGACAAACATTTGTGGACTATGGCAGCAATCTGTTGGGTGTTTCAATCTATTTTGAGCTGAAATTGATTAGCACTTTATGAAAAGTGTACAGAAAATTGCCATGCTTATCAAGGCAAATCAAGCCATAATTCTGCCTTTTTTTTTGTACACCTGCAGCTATGAATATTTTTTTGGTGGATACATCGAGATGTGCTCAAGGATATACATATTGGACTGCATATCATGCAATTTATTCTGATCTTACTGACAGTTTGCAAACAAAAACTCAAAACAAGATGCAACTGTGTGCAGCTCCCGAACTGTAGGTTCTGATTTTGGCATCCATGAATGCATGAGGAAAGGGGCTACAGCTGAGAAGGTGTGCTTTTGCTCATCTTACTGTGAAATATAATCTGGGCATTTGTTTGATGATTTCATAAAATATGGAGGAAATTTGAACTAAGGTGTTTACCTGATTGCTTTTTTTTTTTTTTTTGGCCCCACATTGGTAATAATAAGATAAGAAATGAAAATAACTTGGAGTTGATGATGGTAGTGACAGGAGTTAACTGTATTCAAGGAGAGTCATTAAGAATGAGGAAATGAGGAAGTGGAGCAATAATGGTGAACTTCACATTGTGAGGAAGAGCCCTTTCTGTGGCTGCACTTACAGTGAAAAACAAGTATCAAAGGCGAAAGAAAAGGAGGAAAACCAGGGACTATGTGGAAGTCAGCATTATGTGATAGGATTTTTAAAATAGAAAAATGATGTAGAAATAGGCTAGTTTTTATGTTGTCACTTTGGGGCAGAATTGAAAATAGATATCATGGGATTAAAAGAAAGAAAGAATATCATTGAAAATTTACATATGCTATGGAGTTAGCTATTCACCTAAAACTCATGTTAATTCTAGCAAATGTTATAAGTTGCTACTTTAAAGTAGCATATTTTGTGCACATTTTTTACTTTATGCCTGGCTCTGTCTATAAAAAGATCGTGAGTCATCTTGCTAAGTTCTATATATGCAATGAGTCTATTCTGATAAAGTTCTGTATTACATGAACATTTCTAATAAAAATGATCTTAGAAGTCACTTTTTAGATGTTTATTATGAAAAATAATGAAAACGAAGCAAATTTAAATCACTTGTGATCCTCACACTCAGAGACAACAATGTTAACATTTTGGAGTACATCAATCCAGTCCTTTTTAGTATAGATTTGATATGATAAACTGTTTTGGGATTTGCTTTTTTATACAATACACTATGAATCTGTTTAAATAGCTGTGTCATTGAATACTCTCCTATAACGTTATATTTAGAGAATACACAGTTCTTTTTAATCATGTGGATTTTTAACAGTATCATATGGATTTCCAACAGCCAATCTCTACATGGTTGGATATTTAAATATTTCTTGTATTTTGTAATTAACAATAATGAGAATATTTATTATCATCATCATCAACATTAAAAAATTTTCCTAAAGTGAAATTTGCATAATATGTAACACCACGCTGTGTGCCCACCAACTTTTCTCTTGTTTCAAGGTATCTCTGTCACCCCAGAGTAAAACAATTATCCCTTAGGGGGTAATTCCCTTTCCAGCCCCAGCCTGCTTCTCTGTCGTTATTTCCTCTCCTCTCAAGACTACTCTCAGGTGTTATCAGGGCCCAAACTGGCCTTGTAAGTTCCTGCCCTATCACTTTTGTGAGCTTCATTCATTTTCCCATTTTTCTCCATCCATTATTCAAGCCCAAGTCAATTTACATCTCCTTTGTGAAAACTACTTTTACCGGCTAAGCCTAAATGATCTCTCTCTCTTGAAAACTCTTAGCACACATATCTGTACTGTTTATTTGGCCCATTTTTTCATCATATCTTGTAATACCAGTTCAGTAGCATGTGTTGCCCATAAATCATATTATAAACAATTTCTGTTTGCTGCAGTGGTATCTTATCTACTTTATGTCTTCTGATAATTATCTTACTACATGGCACAACAGAAACACAATAAATTCTTGTCAAAATAAATTAAAATTCAGTTTTTCTCTTACAGATCTTAGCATAGTGCTTAGCTCATAGTAGAGTCCCAATAGATATTTGCTGATTGATTTTAACATATTTATACTTTTATCTAATTCTCTCTCTTGAGGTCACGAGTTCTGCATAACAGCTTTCTAAAAAAGTATTGTGTACGCTTTTATTCATATGACCTAATTTAGGAGATTGCTGTTAATTTTTAAATAGAGATTTATTGAATAAGGCTAAGGCAGTATTCATTATTTGTGAATCCTCCCTCCTTCCCTCCCTCCCTCCCTCCCTCCCTCCTTCCTTCCTTCCTTCCTTCCTTCCTTCCTTCCTTCCTTCCTTCCTTCCTTCCTCCCTTCCTTCCTGAGTTTGGTCTAGCCTTTTCTCAGCCTTTATCTTTCTAAAATACATGGCAAATTCTAAAATGTAGGATTATGTTTTTGCTTTTGTTTTCATAATGGTACTGGTGGTTGGTAACTTCAGAGAACATTTCTACAGCAACTTGTGGGTTATTTTTGGCTATTATTTCTGATATCTCAGAGCTCATTTTCCTAAAAATTTATATGATTTCTCCCTAAATGTATTTGCCTTGCACTTGTGCCCATTTTGATTGGCCTCAGTAGTTCGAATGCATGTTTCCAGAGGTACTAGAAATAATAAATTGGTATAATTATGTGTAGAATTTTTTCGTTCTATGGAGATGTTTGTAAAGCAAAATAATGTGAATTTATTTGGTAAGTATTCTTTTGCTTTTTGAAATAATACCTATTTTTGAAAAATTCTATTCCAAGAAAATATTTTTTCTTCTTTATTACTTCTGAGGAAAATTTCTTGCTAGAAATTGATGATTTTCTTCTCCTTGTCTCTCTTATATGATTCCATAAAAAGAAATGAAAAAGAAATGCAGTAAACATCAGATTCAGAGCTAAATCTCTTGAAGAGTACCTCTTTATATTTCTGATAGACATTTTACAGCATAAGGGCTACTGTTTATTTTTATTGTTCTTATAATCAGTGAATAGGTTCAGCTTAATTTTATTGACACTCCTTTTTAAAACAATTCTGCCTGATTTCAGAAGTGACATCTTTTGCATCAGAGAGAACTAAACTATGCAAAGTGGCGTCCTTTGAGGAACGCTCATTACCAGAGTGGCAACAAGGAACTCAGTTTAAGCTGTTCTTTAGTGATTGCAAACTGGCTCACTTCCCAGCTCTTAACAATTTCAGCTTGGGTTTTTCTTGATTGACCATCAGTCTTCAGCATCTCTAAACACATATATTACACGCACACACACACACAGAAACACACACTTGGCCAGACACAAGATAAACAAACAAAGACTCTTATTAAACTTGAGGAACAGCTTACACAGAGAGATTTAATCCTTTTTTGCATAAATAAGATTCCTCTTCTGTTATTGTGTTTTGGACTATGGGAAGCCTATAAAGCTTGACCGAATTTTCCAAAGGCATAGTCAACTATGGAATGTTTTTTAGTGGACATGATATTCAGGATCTATGACTAACACTGTTCCAACATAGTTCTCTCTAGTCTAAAACACATTGCCAGACTAATCATTCTAAAATGAATTTGCAACCGCCACTTCCAGCTTCAAAAGTTGTTAGCTCATTTTTTCATAAATTCTGTCATCTATTTTTGGGACATTTACCATGTGCCAGGATCTATACCAGACAGAGTGTCAGAAATCTCCCTATAGATACCCCCATGCCCATTCTGCCTCTTGCACCAGTTCTGCATGTGATAGTCATAGTCTCCTTAACAACACAAATTTGACCATGTTACCCTCCTGCTTAAAATGTTTCGATAATGTCCCATTACAATTTGCATAAGTCCCAAACTGCGTATCACAGCTCACAAGGCCAGTGTGTGTAGCCCCTGCTGTCCTCTCTGCCCTCCTTCCCTTCTAGTCTGTTTTTTGACCACTGTGTTCCAGCCACATTGGTCACCTTTCTTTGCCTAGATGAGGCCAGGATCTTTCTCATCTACAAGCCTTTGTACATGCTGTTCCCTCTGTCTGGAACACCCTAATCTTCCCACAGTTGGCTCCTTCTTCTCTTTTGTGTCTTATCTTAAGTGTCACTCCTCAGAGAGTTTTCCTCTGACCACACTATGTAAATAGGCTTCCCCCTAACTCTCTTTTGTTATAATTTTCCTTATAGCACATTCAAAGTTTAAGTTTATATTCATTTGCTTTCTGTATTATTATCTGCCTCCCCAATTAGAGAATAATGTCACGAAGGAGTTTATAGACTGTGAGAGCAAAGTGTCCATCGGATTAAAGAGAAGGTGTAGTGTGAATGAAAATTTGAGAGAGCTAGAAAAATGGAAGACCGTGGCCAGATGGGCTTCTAAGACTTTAAATGTGCAGCAGTTCTCCGGACAACTTTTGGAATGAGCCTGTGGGTGTAGGAGGCCAATGCCAAGTGGAAATGAAGTGAGGGTTGCTGGAGTTGAGTGTCTCCATGAGCCAGGCTTCATTAGACACTGGAAACATAAGTCTTAAAAACGAAATCCAAAGCTCAAAACCCACTATGGTATGTTTTTCATTTTTTCTAACTCGATTCCCTACCGATGCTATTTATTAACCTCCTACCTCTGCTACATTCTTTTCCCTAAATCCTGTTAAGGCCCACTCTCTCTTTCCTTTCTGCTTGTCTAAATTACACCCATCCTGTAAGCCTCGACTCTCAGAAGTCCTTTCCAATCATCTCCTTCCCAACTGCTTCAGTCTCCCACTGACGTGTTATTTGTCTCTCCCCTGGACGTGTAGAGGGTTGTGTGTACTGCCATTGTGCTTTAACCTCTTTTTTTGCTGCCATGTGTTTTAACCTTTTTCTCACAGGTCTTATTTTTCCAGAGAGACATAAGCACCTTGAGTGCATAACAGTTCCTCATATATCTTTGTAATATCATGTCCCAATGAAGTGGGAAGACATGGGAAAACATTTGATGATGGAAAATTAAGTGAGGATTTCTTCCATGTATAGCTGCCAGAGTGTTATATGGTGCTAATATATAACTGACTAAGAAATTAACCATTTGACTTCTTTGTTTATAAAACGTGTTGCCTGTTATTTCAGCAAGAAACTGATGGAGACAGGCTAGACCTCCAAATTAGTATTCAAGCCTACTTTTTCTTTTCTTTTCATTCTGAAATAACAGCAGTATACTTTCTAAATTTTCCTACCTTGTGTTCTGTTCATTACTTTATCTTCTGTGAACTCTTACAATAATTAATATATAACATCATCATTCAACATGGTTGAATAATAGTAATTTTGGGGTAATGCAAAGTGAATAGATTTTTAAAAAATTTAATCAAATTCAAAGAGTATTGAGCACAAGGCAACCTTTGTTGATTGAAAAGTACTTTAAAGTCTCATAAGCTGTAATTATCAACAATTATTATTGAGTCCCAAGTGAATGAAAGTTAATAGATAGTTCTGTTCAGTAAAATGCAAGACTAGCAAAAGGATTATTGTATTAGATAATCTGGAGAGTAGCCAGGTAAGTGGAATTTGGAATTTCCTGCCATTATAGCATGGAGATATGGCACATGGCAAGTCACAGATAACTAAAACAACCATAGCCATTTTGAGTTCTTCATTTGCAATGTTTTTGAAAACCTATTTATTCATTCAGCAAATGTTATCTTTGTGTTGTGTTGTGTTGTGTTGTGTTGGAGGCTAGAGACAATTACAAAGGGACTAAGGCAAGCACAGTCATCCACCCTCATGATGCTTACGTTATCTCTAGTACGAAGCATGTGATTTTTTTGACATTGATTTTTTTTATATTGATTTCATATGATCACTAAGTGCTTCCTGACTGACATTATCATAAATACATGTTGGTAGCACTTTTATGTATATTTTTATAATTAGATGTTTTCTTTGCACATGTGACTCGAGTCCCAGAAAAATACAGAAAATAGTTGAAGATCTGAAAAGACTACCATGCTTTCTCAATTCATTAAAGATATAGCTCTTTGAGGAAAACCTGATGAAATAATTTGAGCATGTGCCTTAAAGATCAGACCTAGAGATAATTCAAGAGCATCCTCCAGTAAACTGAGAATTCATAGAGATAAACTCAGAAGGTCTGTGCTAAGTTTATTCACATGGGCTGTTAACTCTGCTCCATTGGTTCCTATATTTCTCTGTCCTTTCTATCTTAATTTCAGGCTTTTAGGATTTTAATTAAATTGCTTCTTCTAAAGTCATCTTTAAAATGATTTGTTTGGGTACCAGTCTGTCTCTGAATTTATCTACACCTTCACACTCACATCCCCCACCTTGGTCTTGTCTGTGTGGTAGGGAACATTTTAAATGTCTGTTCTGAGCCTTTGCAATGCAAAAATGACAATATATTGTTGATTAAAAAAAAGGAGTGACATTCTTAGGAGAAAAAGTAGCTATGCTTTTTTCTTTTCTTCACATTGTCAGCACTGAGGGTCTATGGGAAAGACTAGGTATTGAACTCAGATCACCAGGCTGCCTTAAAGTGTACTTTGGATATACTTAGAAGCCAGGTAGAATGTGCCTTCTTTTAAGGTCAGAGTCTGCATTTAAATAGAGAGAATTAGATTAATTGGCAGATAAACTGAGATTCTATTTACAGGAACTCTTAAAGACTTTTAATGTTTGGCTCTAATGTTGAATGTGGGAGTGAATCTTTTCATATATATTTCCTTTGATTTCTTCTGTAGAGTTATAAGGATGTCTTCTGACCCAGTTACCTTGGCAGGAATGTTAATATATTGCCAGTCGAATTCAGATATGGTCATTGCCCAGCATAAAGTAAATATTGTCTTTAGTATTTTGCTTTAGAGATAGATTTGTTGCTTTAACTGATACCGTACATGTGTATTTTTTTAAAAAAATAAGCGTATTTTACTGCTGAATGATATCATGGCATTTAATTTTAGGTTTACCTTAAAAATTGTTTTGGCTGTTTCCTATGACCAGAGAGATATTTGGGAAAAAAGGAAAAAAATATGAATCAAAGATTAATAAACAAAATTATTTCAGTAGCATCAAGTTAGGATTGGAAGAAGGCAAGAGCATTTTAAGAACATTAATGAGTAGAAACCATGGATCTTATACTTGGACGTGAAAATTGGGGAGAAAATGATATGTATATATAAATATTATTTCCTTATGGGGACCTTTCCCATTCTCTTAGACTAGGTCAAGCATGCCTATTCTACTTTCTCATAACAGTAGGTACCTTTTTCTTCACCACAACCAGTGTAGTACTAAATGTAATTATTTAATGCCAGCCTCTCTCTCCCCATTATTCTTTTATTCACTGATATTCTCAGTAAACATTATAGAGCATAGCACATGGGCTCAATGCATTAAAAATAAAGTAAAAAGTTGGAAAGACAGACAATTAAAAGAGAATGAAAGAATACAACTTTTTTTATGGTTCATACGAGAATGAAAGAATACAACTTTTTTATGGTTCCCCCGATGAAAAATAGTCAATAGAACTGAAAAATAAGATGTCTTATTTTCAGCTACAGGGAGTCATATATTTTCTTCATACAGATGAAGATTCATCTAAAAACACTTCATTTTTAATTCTACTATTTTCAAAATACTTTTGTATCTGATATCTTGTTTTTACCTTAGTCTAATATAAGAACGTATGGGTAGAAATTTATATTCACTTTATTGATTAAAAGACAAAAGAACAATTTTGAAAAATTCTAAGGGGACTTACCTAAATGTGCATAGTAGGAAATAAAATAAAACTCTTTGATTTTTGACTCCTAAAATGACTCTCTTCTGCCAATTTTACTTAATATTTGTCTTTTTTTCTCACTTGAAAGGGCAGTGAAAGAAAATCCTTGAATCTCAGCTATAGCTATTCAGTAAGAAATACTCAGTGAATAGTGGAAGCTTAATCCCAGCTATGAAAATGTCTCTGTGTTTGTCAAAGCCAAAGTTGATTTTGCTCTATGGAGCTGCCAAAGAAGAAATTACTTGGTGAAGAGGTAAAATAGAGTCGTAATATGATATAAATGTTTCTAGAAATGGTGTCAGGATGCCGTGTGTAAGTCAGGGCATCTCTTGTTAGAGAGAAACAAGTTAAAACTAACTCATTTCATGAGAAGTGTACTGATCAAGCTGAGAGCTCCCTTTTCTGCTTTCCATTTTTTTTCTCCCATAGCTATCACTTGGTAAAAATTATGCTTGATGTCAGGGTGCCAGTTATAGTTTATTTAGACTACTTTTGTACATTTTTTTCTGGCTGAAAAATGAATTTAATTTGTCTTGTTTAGTGTATTTTCAAATAATTTTTAATAAAAATATTAAAAAGTAAATGATGGAAAGGAGATTCTGTTTCATCTAGGCAGGAAAATTAAACTAGTTTTTTTTTTTAGTGAACGTGGAAACTGTAAGTTGTATGATTACAGAGTTAACACATAATTGGGTAAGATAAAGATCTAGGAAAAGCTGGGAAGTCGATGTAGTGGAAAGTCTGTTGGCCTTGGAATCAAACCATCTAAATTTGAGCCCAGGATCTTATCAAGTGACCTTAGGAATATCATTTAAATTATTTAAGCCTCAGTCGTCTTATTTATAAAGAGAGAATAAAAACACCTGCTTCAAAGGGTAGGAGGTAGTAGTTATAAAAGCACTTTCTAAATTGCAAATTGTTAAACACATATAAGGTATGATTATTAAATGAGAAAGGCACTTGTAATACATGCAGATCTTAGAATGACAATCAGTAAGTAATAGCTAAAATGTGATTTTAATTTCCAGAGTTATAGCTATTGAGAAGTATTTCCTCATGTCAGCTCTGGGCAATAACATCTCAGATGGTGTTTGAGCTGAATGAGCTTAAGTTTGGACTATTGTGAAACTTCTGCATGCTGCTTCTTGGCTTGGTTGTACCAAGTCTGAGAAACCTGGCTTGACTTCCTTCCCTGCAGTTTTCTCTTGTAGGAGCGCTGTTATCATCTATCCTGCTGTAATGTTAAGAAGAATATCTTCATTTCACCTTCTGAACTACATGTTACTTATGCAATTTAGTTTGGATTTCATTCTTCCAGAAAGGTGTAGCCACATGCTTTCTATAATACACCTCTGTTCCTTCATAACCTTCAGTGCAACACAGCAGTTCTCAAGGTGCTTATCTTATATTCGTGGTTTTTTTCCCCAGGAATAACCTTCACTGCAAAAGAAGTGTATTTGGTTTGGAGATTATAGATATGCTATATTTATTCATGTGTATTCTGAGTGAAGTGTTTATTTTCCGAAACCACTTCTTGCCCCTCCCCTCTTGACCTTAAGTTTCTAGGAATGGAGAGTTGATTTGACTAGTGCTGAATCATATAGGAAAATTCTCTAAAAACCCCCACGTACCCTTTAATATATTTGGTTTGATTCAAAGATCAGTTTACCCTTTCAGAGTATATATGGAAAAATATCAATTAATTGTATTATTTTAAAGAAAAATCTTAGCCTATCTTACAGTTAATTATTTTTTAAAAAAATATGTTATTTCCTGAGCATTGTCTCCAACTATAGAAGAATCACAAATCTTTTTCTAGGCCTTGATTTACTATTAAGTCATGTTACTTTATGATTATTAGTAATTAATTGGTTATTACCCTCCCTTTTCATCTTTGAAACTTATAATGAGATCAGGGTTATAAAATGAAGCTTATTTTACCCATTTATCTACATGAGAAAGCTCAGTGATTGAATATAAGGGAGTCATTACTGCCAGGTTTTTAAATATGGTTTATAAAGCAGATGGGCTTTGACTATTGATGGTCTGATATATTTTGAGAATTATCAAACACATAATGTGAGTCTATCCAAGAGAGGAAATGGTTTACTATTTTATAACAGTTAGTATAAACAAGGAATCCGTTGGTCTAAGATAGATTTGACCTGCCTTTTGCCAACAGTCATGGCCTTTTTATAATTAAAAGGATAATAACTAATTAGGAATAAATGGTATTATGCCATTATTTGAATGGAGAAGGCTTCTTTAATATTGGAAGCAGGCAGTTTCAGGGGAAGTGACTTTCAGACATTAAATGTGAAATAGGTTATAGTGTTCCCTACCTTCATTTTTCTAAATATCAGTATTTTTTTTCCGACAGAAAAAGAAAAGAAATAGGAAGATTTTACAGTTTCTTTTATGTTACATGACTTCAAGTCCTTTTCAAACAGAGAGGACAGAGTGTTCATGGCACTGAAAAAAAAGCAGGGAAAACCATTATATATGGAGAATTTTATAATTCGGTGCAAGTGAAAACTCTCTTTGACGGCTTGTCATTTTTCTAAAATATGTATATATATATATATTCCTGGGGAGAAGTGGTACGAAAGACAATCACCAGTATCATGACAAGTGTTTCACAGTGATCGGTGGGGCATTATTTAAAAGGAATGATCACAACCCCAGACAGTAGTCAGGTACTCGTGGTGTAAAACAAGAAGTGGAGACTGAGTGAGAGAGGGCCCCAGAGTACTGCTCTTCAAGTCAGTGTTTAATCTCCAAGTGGTTTAAGACATTTCCTGTTCAGTTAGTTCATTCATTCATTCAAATATTTATTGAGTATCCATGATTTGCCAGGCACTGTTTTAGATGAAGACTTTAACAGTGAGAAAAACAGTATATACTCTCATGCAGTTTATGTTCTAATAGGGAAGATAGACAATGAATTAACAAACAAATATGTATTATAAGGTCAGATAATGATATGTACTTAGAGAAAACTGAACTGAAATCAGGGGAGAGAGATTGATCAGGCTTGTCTGAAGGACCTTTCCTTCATTTGTCCATTCACCTATGCATCTGCTAATCTGTTAGTTAAATGAATATGTTATCTACCTTAAATGAGACAGAAATAGTTTCTGCTTTCAGAGAGTTTTGTGAGTGAGTTCTGTGGAAGTTAGAACTCATTTTCCTATAGAAAAGTTAAGCAAATGAAGTTAAGATTCTTAGCTGGTTCACAAAAATCTCCTTTAACACGTTAAAACTTGGTGGTGGTACTAATGATGGGAGATTGCGTTCTGGTTCTTGGGTGGAGGGAGAAAACGAGGCAGAGGAGGGGAAAGTGAGGAGAGGACGTCCTCTTCCTTCCTTCCTACCTACCGGCCATTTCGTGGGCAGATTTTTAAATAAACCAGTTTTCGTTTCCCCTTCTTCTGTCAGATTTTGAGCACCCCAGACTTTCCTTATTTCCCCTCACTGCCCTTTCCATCCCCATTCAGCCAAGTCAGTCTACTCTTAGAAAGTGCTTTGTGACATTCAAGTACTTTCTTTATCTTTGGTTCTCTGTCAGGTACCTTGTGAGGAGAGCAATTTGACTGAACTATGGATGAGGCATAATGTAAACATAACCCTAACCTGAACAAAGGCATTTGCATTTTCTGAAGAGACTTGAATCACTAATTGTCGGGGTTTTAAGCTGTCATCTAATAAAGCTAAGTGAAAATACTCAGAGAGTATATTCCACTGTAGAGAACTACTGTGCGGGTGGATTTCGAAGGCCAACACTTCTTTCTACTGGGAAGTGAGGTATACAGCCTTGCTTTTCACCTTTTGCTCTTCCTTCTAATGAATAAAACTGATGTTTTCTTCTCACATGGCTCCCATGCCTGGAGGGATAGAAGGCATTTTTATTTTCTACCTTTTATAAGTTGGAAGTGTGTAAGTCAGAAGTGGTATAGTAGAGTTCGTTCTACTGAGGTAGATAGTCTGGCCTGCCACCATGTGTGGGCAGAGAGCCAGTAATGACAGCTGCGAAATTCATATTAGAGACTGTGTTTCCTGACTATCTGATTTGCTAGATATTTCACGTGCATTCATGATTTCACTCTTTCTTCACCACAGTCCTGCAGGCTGTGTACGAAGACCATCCACAGCTAAGGAAGGTCGAGAGGTTGAGTAATCTTCCCGAAGTGACATGGCTAGTAGTGGAGTTGAGATTCAAGCTCAGATCTGTTCGATCCTAAAGTCTTTTTTCTCCTCACCCCTATTATCCTAAAAATAAGTGAAGGATGATTCCCGAGAGGTCTGTTAACTCAGGATCATTAAGCGGCTCCTCATGTCTTTTCTGGTGAGGCAAATGGACTAGGCTACAGAAAAGAGAGACTGGCAGCTTGAGTTCTGTTTGAGTGGTTTTTCTCATGTTGGCTCTGACATGTGGACTGGGGTCTGTTCCCACATCTGGTAGCCGCACTGCAGCAAGTCTCTTAGGCCCTCCATGCTCAGACTCTGTCCTGAACTTACTCATTCACTCTCTTTTGATTATTTAAAATAGTAACATGGAACAGTGAATTAGTATATTGAGCTGATAACCCTCTCGGTCCTTCTCATGCTCACTGTTAACAGGACCTCCTCCCCCCACCCCCACCCC